AAAAGGCAAATAAAATATTCCACTTGGAACAGTTTTTGAGTCAAAATGATTTTAAAAATTGTAAAAATCATAATGAAAAAAAAAATTAAAATACTTTTTCTCATGATAATAATTACGGTGAAGGTAAAGGGAAACCCTAAAGGAATATTTTATATAATAAATTACACCTGCTCCGCCTTCGTGAATCGTTTAAATTACACTATACAAACGGAAATAGAGAGTAATCATCTTCAAAATGTTTCAAAAGAATTGTTTCAGATTTGTGTCTAAGATTATTTCAAATCTCAGAAATCTCTTTGCACAATTAAATGCACTACCGGTAAACGTAAACTTGCACATGGTACTTTGTAAAACGCTCTAAAAAAATTGGACTTTATGCTCTCTTCAATTAAATTCTATAATTGGGCACAACTTTCACCGCAACGTATCCGCCTCAGATCTATCATTAAGATGTTTTTTTCATTTGCACTTCAAAAATCGTTGTTGGTGTAAATTTACAACTCGACAAAAATTTTCTCTGATCACACGAAAGTTTAAACATACTATTAAGCTCATTTCTACGACTGTAAGAGCAAGAACTAGCTCCCTGGCAAACTAACGATAGAATTTGACTTACTCTTAACTTACCAGAAACCACTGTTTACTATAATCTGGATCATTTAACTTGGGATTATAATCTCTTCGTACGCGTCTCTTCACAATTTGTTGATCTGCCCAAATCACCTTAAACAGAAGAAATAGTATCATTAAAGTCGTTGAGGAAGTGCAAGACTGCCGTAACAAAAGAAACCAACTTCCTGGATTTAGCATGTTCCTGATAATGCTAGAGTAGATGTTAAGAATGGATTATAAAACGCAATGCATACATTAGGATGTTCACCAAGGTCCGATGTGATATCCATGGCATCGCGTTTCGATCGTTTGGGATGTGAATTGTGCTTGAACAAATAAAATCCTTCCAGACTTCCAACCTATAAATGAAGACAAAAAACACTTCCAATTCATTGATCAAACAAACGCGTGAAATGAAGAGGATAAGTTGAATTCCCTCGAGCAGAAAACCTCAAATGAAAAATAGCATCCTTCGAGGCACTTATGCCACTCACGGGAGGCTAATGAATCAATGTCTCCCCTACCTGGCCTAACAGTGTAAGATCCTTTTCTCTTGCTATCCTTTCGGCCTCCCGAAGACCACCATCAACCTTCGCAACCCATGTATTGGAATACACTTCCCGAGTACGACACGTAGCCAAGTTTAACACCGCGATAACCAACATGTAATAACTAGTATGCATTATCGCCGCTTCAAGAAACGATCTTGCCGCAAAAGTGTACACAGAATAAATCAAAAGTGAGCTAACTAAAATACAAAAGGAATAATCGGTACCGCGGAATACCTATACCGATCGAGAACGAACAAGTTCACATAATTTTTCCATACAGATTTACGTGCAATGTCAATAGTATGCCGAAACAAAATATCTGTCTTCGTGACGTCACACGAAGACTCCTACTTCCTCTAGATTTACCGCGCGCGTGACGCAATTTGCTGAAAAGGGTTCAGGGATAAGATTTATGGTTGATACTCGGAAATAGAAACCTTCCTAGTTGGCTGCAACCATTCGAATAAGCCCAACCTAAAAATAGTATGCGAAAAAGAAAGAATACAGAGCGCGTGGGACTTAATGTTTACTCTGGAGTGAAAGCTGTGATAACACAGCCACCACGCGCCATAAAAGATGAGGAGAAAAACAAACTCGCTTTTGCTTTAAGTTAATAGATTGAATTGGTAAGCTCTGTGAGGAACATTACTAAAAATTTCCTGAATTTCCGAGAATACAGATATAAAGGAGTTCAATTCATAAATCAATTTGATTTACATTTTTCGTTGTCGCTACCTTCACTTAATCTGTTCCATAAACGGTTTTCCGAACCACTGTTTGTAAACGAATCTTTTTTTACACAGCTGTTTCGCTCCCAGAGATTTATTTCAATGGAACAAGAATTGAAAGTTCATTATTTTCAATCTGCCAGAAAGGCAGATTTATGAAACAAAGCAGGTGCTTTTGTAGAAAAGGACTGTTAGTGAAGCAGATCTTCAGGTTTCTCAGTTAACAATAATATAAAACATCTCAGCCGAGCAGAGAAGAAGTGTCTATGCTGTTCAGAAGTTAAGTTTGCGCTAATTTTTCAATAGCGTACATAACCTGTCAGTAATAGTACAACATTGAAAAGAGTGGTGTCTTTTGTTCTAAGGTTACGAAATTCTCTTGTTGTGACAAATTTTTAATACCAATTAAATTGCCATAGCACACTAAAATGCTTAAAGCCTTTTAATAAGCGAAACAAAATAAAAAGCGAGATATGATATTGCAGTTAAAGGAGTTTTTCCTTTGTACCCAGCGCCTTTAAAAGTCCGGCTACAGCTCACTTGTATCCTTCAAGGGATAATTCAGACAAAGAATACCATGAAAGAATCGCTGAATGTGTAAACCAGAGGGGGAAATCATTACATTTTTGGCACTCCATTAATTTCCTGTGGAAAACAGAGGGGCGCATCATGAGAGTGACATGTTGGTATATAGTAAATCATCGGCCGCCGCGGGGAAACCCCAGGTTGACATTAACCTTAAATCTCTTAAACTACAATAAATCATTCCCTCTCTTTGTGATTCCCGATACCTCGAAATAAAAGCGAACACAGCCCAACTTTATTCTGTAAATAACCACAAAATATGACATAACTCCACAAAGATAAGAGCGTCATGGAGGCGTTCTTGATGGGAAAGGATTTTATGACCGCGCCTGTCTTCACTTCTGTCGCTATCCAGGTCGCTTAGTAAATATGGGAAACTTGGAGCTGTATCCATATCTCCCCTCAAATCCTGAAACGAACACAGCTATTAGTTCTACGCATCTTGGCGTCTATCAGGCTTCTCTTGTGCCGTATAGGCTTTTTCTTTGTAATAAAAACAGACGAAAGGCAAAGTAAACAAACAAAAGAAAAAACAAAAACAAAAATCGCGCCTCGTTAAAAAAATTCTTGCCGATTGGATGTTTGTCTCGCTAATCTAGTCTATTTATTTCACCCTAAACTGTCCCAATTCTTTTTTTATAACAAAGATATCCTCAATTTTTTTTTTTGGGAGGGGGAAGTGCGCGGGGAGCGAATCAGGTTGCGTATTTTAGTATTGCGCTCATTGAAATTTCTAGAAAATGACACCAAGATACCTGTAAAAGTGTCACTGTTATACTCAATTAAATAGAGATGGATTTCATCATATGGGTTGGTTGTCGTGAGCTGAGCTAGTCCTGTCTTGAATTACGTCTTAAAAGGCAAGGACGTAAAGGCTGAGATACATGTGACTTGCTCCCCAAAATGGTGCAATTCCATAGTAGGGCGTGGTTATGGAAATGTTTTCCAATAGCTTTAAGTCTGGCTGAACGCGGTGAGATACAGACAAAAGGTCTACTCAAAATGTGTTTGTATTGTACTTGTAAGGCACTTGACAGTTCATAGTCTTTGACCAACTGCTCGTGTTTAGGTAAAATGTCTGAATGATTTTTAATCTTTATGAAATAAAAGTGATGATAATAGTAGTTAAAAAAAACTCGAAAAAGATGTCGAATGCGTCCATTTCATTCTGATCAAAAGCGAGGACAGAGAAAAGGATGAGCGTGGTAGGAAAAGCGAAAAATGACGAGAATGTCAACATATCAACAAGATTTTGATTTATCATTTCAAGTTCCGATATATCACCCCCTCCACTTAAGCCGATGAGACCGATACTGGTCAACAGCTTGAGCGTATCAGGTGTGTCTAAGTTTTTTTTGTGGTAATGAAACAGAAAACTTTTCTAAAATAGAAACTTATTGCGTTCCTTTGGAATTCGCCCTAGCTTTGTTGTATCTCAAGGCGGGTTATTGCATGCACGCAAGGTCTACTACAAGGCGGTATTCTATTTATTTACTAACCGCAGTGATAAGCAAGTAAGATTTGTGAGTGATACTATCACAAGGTGTGAAATACGGTAAAAATAATATGTTCAACCCATTCGCACGCACTACGGAAATGAACGTTTGCACTATACACAGACGAAAGTTTGTTGCTAATTGGCATTCTGCACACTCAAGAACTTCAGAGTTGATAAAAACGTCGGAGAACCATGGTTGTATACTGTCTTGAAGCAGTACCCCTACTTTGAGTCATTCTTTCGAGGTCAGTTTTCAGGGTTAATCACTGGGTCATCTCAAAATCGCGCCTATATTAGCAAAATATCTCAGACGCTAGAGGAGACCAGATGTTAGTCTGGTATGATAAATCTTTCTCCCCAACACGCGTGAAAGCTTCCCTTGCAAAATAAATCTGTAAACTCAACTGTTGCTCGACTTATCCTTCTCTGTGCGGTAACAGTCCCACAGATAACCAGTGACTCCTTGGTGTCTCCATTGCTCACAACATTCTCTACATTTCCGCGTTTGTTAGTCAGACAAGAATTCCGCACGAGCAAACCGTTGGTTCTACCAGTGCTTCTCAGTCGTTTGAGAAATCAGCTAAAACAGTAGTTTTTTGACATTAGTGGGTCAAACTATTTCATTACCCAAGAGATCAACCACAACTCAGTTCAGTTATTTTATTCCTGCAAGTGGCCCCTGGGAGCGAAAGACATGCGCCGCCCAGAAAGGAAGGATTTTCAAAAAGCTTAATGTTCGGTTGAAATTTTAATGACCTAAAAAAAGTTCTATACAGTTTCGAGGGTGTTTATTAAAGAAATCAATGTGACCCCATTCCGAGAGGTTGTGAAAAAATGGCGAGAATCGAGAGGGGCGGCGAAAAGGCTTTTGACCGATTACCGCATACTTTGCTATTGAAAAGCACGAATGCGGAGACCGAATCCCACTAAAAGCGATGAAGGGAATAGTATATATAGAAGGGTAAAAGGTCTGATCCTTCGATTTATGTAAATCGTTTTGAGCACGACGAGCCAAATTGCAATGTATTTATTTTTACTGAATTGCTTTAATCTCATATATAACTTTTTATAATCTGTTACAGCAATAGTTTCCATAAAGGTAACGAGCTTAAGATGTATTCAACAGCCAAATCGTCTCGTTTCCAAAATGTACATCTCACTTTTACCTATCAAAGAAATTTGGGCTGTCCAAAGCCTTCTTCAAGAAGATCACAGATATCGTTTTCCGAGAATTACTTCAGAAAAATCCTCTTAATCAATCATCAACCCCAAACAGAGACTGAAACAACAAAAAATCGAATAGCCACGGTTTTAAGGATAATTCTCGGAAAAAAATTCTTACAGTTTTGAGGAAGCAGAGAAAGCTAAGTGAACAGAAGAGCGTTAAAACATTGACCATACTGTGCAAGAAAAATAATCAGAAATCACTTTTTCAGCTGCACCATCGACCTATAAATTTGATATCTTCTCCAACCTTCTGCCAAAATGGCACAACCACAATGATCAGTTACTGAAAAGAACTCCAAAACCAGCTGGAAGAACTAAACATTTGAGAACTACACTACTCAAGATGGCGGCAGATCTCCTTGGTGAATTCAGAGCAAGTGCTTCTTCCACCCAAATCTCCTGTCAGTGCCTGTTGATACACAAACATAAATTGACTCTCTTCCTAGCTGATCATCACACTTCATTTTCAGTTTCCATGCATATGAAGAATTTGGTGTTGTATCAGGTAACATCCAAATAACATTGAACAAATTAGCCATGCAGTCTTCTTGTGTAGCGACCGCAAATCAATGACACACATCCAACTTCTATTAACAACATGACTGCCCTTTGCCTTGGGATAATGTGGACAGGTGGTTAAAAAAATGGATCGATATCAGTATCTGGGCAACTGCCCACCTACCCCTCCCCTAACTCAACAACAGTAAATTGACAACATGTTAAGGTGGGCAGTTGCCCAGATAAAAAAATTGTTGTTTCATATTCCACTGAGATCAAAGACATTCCACCACCCAACAGAACAACTTCCACGATTCCCTTAACTATTCTCACCCTAACATCAGTATGCATATTCTCCATACTGTTCTCTACACATTTCCTACGGTGCTGACAAGGAGAATTTGTTTAACAACCAACAGACTACGAGCAGTAGTCTACAGTAAACAATTCCATGCTCAACACTGAAAAGAGAAATGCCATTCTTATTATGCTTAGATAACGAGGGCTAAATTCTGAGATATCCTTACATTTCCATCCCTGATAGTTGCAAGCACAGCTCTCTCCACATCGTCTGCATGTGAGTGTAATTTCATGTGTCTAAGCATCATCACAGCACTGAGGAGGAGTGCTGTGGGGTTTGCTTTGTCCTGACCTGCGATATCAGGAGCTGTACCATGAACCTGCAAGAGGCAACATTGGCAAATTATTCACATATAACATGCTGTAAATCATTTAGGCAATTTAAGATCTCCACCATACAATGTACTCTTCAAAAAAAAAAAAAAAAAAAGGTAAAAGGTTCTCTCAAATCTAGAGCATGTGAGAAAAATTGTGTTAAAAATAAAATCCCATGCTACACCATGTCGATTTATTTCTCAAGTTGGTCTACAATCATACCTTTACAATAGCTTGTTTAATGTATACATAACAAGTTTTTTCCCAATTAGTGGAAATAACTGAACAACCAAACTCCTACCCTCCCCAACAAGGCATAAGAGCATTGACCAGTGCCAACAGTTGAAAGACAAGAATTGAAATAAACACAAGTGCAATACTCAAAACACTAAGTTTTTTTAATTGTGGTATACATGACCGCTAGAACTGACCCCATTGTCTTCTGTGAACATCATTAAAGAAAGTCAAAGTTCACATTGATAAAGAAGATGATTCCAAGGCTTATCAAATAAATTATTGCTTTGGATCACACAAATCAAAGTTACAGGTTTATTTATATTCATTATTATACAGTCTTCAAGTACTTACTGATTCAAATATGGCCACTCCATCAGCGCCAATGTTCCCGCTAGGTGTTACACCTAGGCCACCAATCAAGCCAGCACACAAATCACTTAAAATAAGGACACATGCCACAGTTAACCACTAAACATAAAATCCAACTCTATTCAGACAAGTTTTAAGGTAGAGTTTTTGCCGACTGATTGTAGCATTGGATACTTCAGCAAAAAAAGAAGACACAAGGTCAGCTAGTGCATCTTGATTAACTGCATACAATTCTGAACCATATGTGTGACTTTTAAAAAAAATTAAAGTTTTGCCGATTAACAGATGTACCCTTCTAAACCTCAAAAATTGCAGATTTTTCAAAACAAATGAGCAGATTTGAGGATTTGAAGAATTCTTTGGATAGCAGATCAGCTTTAAATTTGGCTGTCTTCTAGGTTCTGTGTGTCTAAGTGTTCCCATGGTGAAGCACATCATTTAATTAAATAGCTTGTTGTTTTTATTAATGTTTCACCTTAAAATGTCTCCATATAAGTTGGGCATTACCATGACATCAAAACTTGATGGATCTGAAACAATCTGGAATAGAAAAAGCAACCAACAACCTTTAACCAAATAAACCACCCACACAACACCTTAACCATTTAACTTCATCATCATTGTTTAAATCACTTCCTTTGGTTTGCTTATATTTTCAACTTACATTGAGACAAGTGGTGTCTAGATACATCTCATTGTATCTGATATCTTTATTTTTCTCAGCAGCCTCTCGACAGCATTGCAGAAAAAGACCATCAGAACGTCGCCTGCATGAAAAAGGATACAACTTTAACCCTTCACACCCTAGCATCAGTATACATATTCTCCATACTGTTCTTTATACATTTCCTAAGGTGCTGACAAAGAGAATTTGTTTAACAATCAAGAATTTCTTTAGTTGGTGATAATTTCCTTAATTCTCATGACCTTAAAGTGTGATTTAGGGGTAATAGTGTAACAAGAAATTGGATGCTGGTCACTCTTAGGGGCCAAAGGGTTAATAAATGGTTTTTCAGCATAAAAGAAATTACATAGGAGAGCAGGGTATAAAAGGTTAGCGTGTCAGTATCACATTTAATCCAAAACATAGCAGAGAGCTTCCACCTCCCTTCCCCCTGAGTCATTCATGACCCTTACTTAGCCCTTTGCAAGATTTAACCAACAGACTTTTCCAAATGTGAAAAAATGGTTGTGGAACACAATAAAATTTCAAATGAAAACTGAGCTAAAAATTTTCATTGATATGTTTTCTGTTCCTCACTAACAGCACTAACCACTTTCATTTTATTATCCCTGCTCACTACTTATTCACATATAACCAATTAATAGGTAATCTGGACAGATCATGCAAATAAATAATCATCACCCGTCAAAGATCCAAGACTTCTCCATGTACTAAAACAAATTAGTTGGCTAAATTTGGATGGACTTAGCTGCTCTTCATTCTAAGAATATAAAGATGTTATTTACTGGGTGAGGGGTCCATATGGGAAAGAACATTTTGCCTGAGGCAAGACTTCTTTTGAATGAATATTTTACTCAGATTTACTCCACACAAACAATCAATAGTACCAGTAATCTTTGCAGCTCTTTCTTGAACTTACATGATATTTGCCTTATGTACAGCAGTCACAGTGTGTCTGTTATTTGCTTTTGCATATTGGAATGCAAAGTCTGCAACTCTTTGGGAAGCCTCTCTTGTGATCAGCTTGATACTCTGTACTACACCATCAACAACCTATAAATTAAAAGAAATCCACTTTTTAATCATCCACTTCTTAATTTTTCATAATAAAAAAAAGTATTACAACATATGGGAAAGGAAAAAAGTTATCTACGTTAGTGGAAAGTTTGAGTTATCAGGTATTCAAAATTGAATGCTTGTAACTGGAACTTTAGGAAACACCAACACTTCTTCACTTTTTCCTTGCTTCCATTTTCTAGGGCACTGACAAGGAGAATTTGTTTAACAATCAAGATCTTCTTTTACTGGTGATCATTTCCTCTATTCTTGTGACCTCAATGTTTGATTCAGGGGCAGTATTGTGAGGAGAAATTGGACATTAGTCACTCTTAGGGGTTTAAGGGTTAAGCTCCTCCAACTTACCACATGTTCTATACCACTATATTCTCCCTCTGTATTTTCTCTAATGGTCACTAGATCAACATCATCATATGCTGTAGGATAACCCTCTATAGATCTGCATGGTCGAACATTGGCATACAGGCTGAATGTTCTGGGTAAAGTAAAAAGATTGGTCATTACATCAAACATGTCTCTACAATATACAAATACAAACACAACAGTCAGCAATTAGTTGATGCCAAAAAATGTTGTAAAACTGTTGACTCCTCTTCTAATGTGATTGTTCAGCTATTAAATTTTTTTTGGAATTTCTCCATGAATGAAAGTAGAATCCTTTTTTCAAAACTCCATTCAATAGTACAGCCAGTTATTTACACAAGGCCTAACCCAAACCATGGTTTTACACAATCAGTGGACCTCAGGCTTTCTTTGTAAGAGGTTTGGTTTAATCAAATAAATCTCTTTCCATTGTTAGTTTTAGAGCTTCTTGACACTGTTCACAAACATAAATGTTCCGATAAGAGGTCCAACTAAACTGGGGATTGTTTAGGATGCAGTTTTGTTAAACAGTGGTTTAACTATGGTTAAATAACCAACCAATAAAGTTTAAAGATTACTCAAGTTTTAAAGCAGAATGTTATGAACATTTTTTCAATGAAACTTTCTAGTTGCTTACTTTCTGAGAGTAAGATTCATGGACACATGTCCTTTACCAATCTTTGTCTCCAATGGCCCTGTTACAAACAAACACATTGTTATTAAGTTAAACATATCTATAATAATGGCCCATCTATATATTTTTGGACGTTGAGCTGTGAAAAATGTATCCTGTAATGCTGTGGCATACAAATAAGCCTCCCAGGTTACAATTTTGGAAAGACAAACTTGTCTTTAGCAACTACTGTTTTTACAAAGCCTTATTGCACCATTAAAAAAACTTTCCTAAAAGGAACTTTTAACAGAAAAGAAAAGCCACACTGACCATGCTAAAGCAAGGAGTACAAGTAAAAATGTGTTTACTTTAATTTATATTTAGTTATTGCACATAGAAAGATTGGCAGTAACACTTCAATTATATGTACTGAACATAATTATCCTGGCTTATGTCCAAACTTATTCTAATACGTAAAAGTAATTTCTCAAATAGACTCATGTTCAATGAGCATTATAGACTGTAAGAACTTGTTGGCCTGATCTGTTATTCCAACAGTATTGGATCCCATGCAAAACTAGCACCCAACTCCACTTACAATACAGATTCTCATAAAATCTGGCTGTTATCAGGCATTGCACACTTATTAAATTGGCCTGAAGATGTAAAGGATCCTGTAAACATTCTTCAATCAAGGGCTTGCTTTTCAAGTCTCTTATATCTTCAATTTACCTTGACTTCTACTGATTATTATATTCTAAAACACAGAAAAATAAATCTGAATTGGAGAGTAATAAACTAAAAAACCTATCACCTAATAATCCAATGTGATAACAAATCCTGACAATATCATTTAATTATAACAGTGGATGAGTTTGGGGTGACATCTTCATTGATAAGAAGTCAAAATGTCATTAATAAGAAGTCAAACCTTTAAGACCAATCTTGTTCTTATTCATAGAGTTGATTGCCACTGTTGGAATTGTAGTCTTCCCATCAGGGAGAAGTATTGGGGTGACTGTGACTTCTTCCCATTCAATGGGAACCTGAAAAATAGTTCATCAACCTTGATGCTAATTTGATCAGAATTAAACGTAAAAAAAGATAAATTGCAGGGCTGTGTCCTACTTCAACTTGGGTGCCACAAGGTGACTAACTTTATGCCTAACTTTGATCTTACAAAAGCTCTGCACTACCTGCCAGACATTTCTTAAATTTTAGCTATAAGAATTTGGTATTTGATATATTTTTCTTCTCCTCACCTTTCTGCTTGAAATGTATTGATACTGTTAGGAGAAATTTCTTTTCAGTCACATTTAGGAGTGAAAACGTTTAGAGCTAAGCTACCCAAAAGAGTGAGACAGGAACCTACTGGCACCAAGTGATTTGGCTTCAAATTGAACTGAATGGTTTGACTTGTCAAGTATGTAAATAATTTATATGAATGAAGCTCAAGAAAGTAATTTTACCTTAAATTTAAAATTATGATAAAAAAATTTCTAGGAAAGGGTGGTTATCTTGTCATGCCATCTTAAGTTTACAGAATTTGTAACTAAAATTTGATGCACAAAGAAGAGGGTGGGGAAGCAATTGAAAAGAGAGTTTTTCAGGCAGAATAAAAAATTCAATCTAATAGGATGTCACAGGCCCCAAGCAGTATATTGAATATGCACAACTCCCAATTTCCATCTTCTTTACACAAGCCATCACGTGATTTTTTAAATCCTTAAATATGTGTTGGTATTAACCCCTTCCTCTTTTTAACCCTTTAACTCCCATGATCTGATAGTCAATTCTCCCCTTCAGCTATTAATATTTCCTTTTAAATTAGTTACAAGAATTTGGTGTGAGATCAAGACAACAATTTCTACTTGATATGTTTGAGTATTCTCATTACCTGTTTGTAGGACAATGTATGGATATTATTGGGAGAAGTTAGATGTTAATCACATCTAGGAGTTAAGGGTTAACACATAGGGGGCATCATGCGACTGGTATATCTCTTGAAATGATAAAATCATCAAAAGGTATTTGCATTTAAATAAAATGAATAATCTAATATTTTCATGTTAACTTATTTCATAAAAAGGTTCTTTGACATAGAACCTATCCAACCTTTGCAGCAGCAAACACAGTTTTCACAGCATCAGAGATTTCTGGTCCTATACCATCTCCAGGGATAAGCGTTACCTTTTGTATCTAGTGCAAATTAGTAGAGAAATAGCAAAGTTAAATGACAAGAAACACAAGCGAAGAAGCTCAGAGATCACTCACTGCACAGTTCATTAATCTTCTGGAAAAATTCGGGTGGAACAGAACTACGACCTGAACACCAAACAATTATAAAAATGAACATATTTCTTTTCCTTTAATGAAAATGCCTTATAACGAATTTCAAATGCGTTTTTTTAGAGAGGTGGTTGGCGTGTTCCTCTAGGACTATATTTTTAATATCAGACTGCCCGGCACAACATGTTTAAATACCTAACACAATAATGAAAAGCACCTGAAGCAAGTGAACCCGTAGAGGAAACAGAGAGCTAACATAAACAGGAAGATTAACAGTTTTTTCCTTAGCTACCAGCTTTAGCGATTTGAGAAAGGTTGGTAGTCTGTTTTACCTCTGATGAGTAAAATCGGCTTGGTACACTGGTAACCTGCATGCAAAGAGAGAAGGTCAAACAATATTTTAACACTTATTCAATAACAACCGAACAGTTTTCGCGAGATCCTCTCATCAAGTAGCCTCTATAAATATAAGAATTCTTACTTTACGTAAAGTACTGACGGCATTACAGACTGAATTTGAGGTTGAACACCAGAATTTACTCAACCTGGAGGACGCCATGTTTGTTTCTGCTATGTACGCAAAGAAGTCTGGTATCGAAAAACCGAAGCATTCCGAAGTAATGACGAATAATTACGAATACATTCGAGGAATGTCTAAACCACATCTTTAAAGGAAATCGTCAGAACTTAACCCTTAACTCCCAGGATCAAATTGTTTATTCTCCCTTATAGCTGCTCCAAATTTCCTAGTAAGTTAGTGGCAATAATTTGGTGTTAACTCAGGATAAACTGTACCTGATACATTGGAGTTCTCTTTGACCTACCAGCTAAATTTTGGAAGGATATTGTAAGAAGTTACAAGTGAATCACTCCTAGGAGCTGGAAGAGAGGAAAGTGTTCATCGCCTAAGGCATTAATTGTCAAAAGTAATCAGAACAAGGTAACAAAGAGCATGTCCTTTACTGATCTGATAGAGAATTATTGTTGATAAAGTTCACAGGAAGAATGATACCAGCTGCGGTTCTTCCCCATCGAGTTATTTTAGACACATTAATTTGCATTCAAAACTAAACTTGGTAGGGAATTCTCTTTACATTTGATTTGATTAACTTGGAGAAAGCATAGCTTCTAAATTTTGCCATTGAAATGTACTTTGTACAGCTGGTGTACTTAAGCCCGTCCATTAAATTCCATCTCGTTGCGTTTCAGTAAAAAAAATAACCTGTGTTATCCCTATGTAAAATCACACTACATTACTAGAAGCCAACTTGTGATACAGGAGAATAGAACACAGCTTTTTAAAGACAGTTTATTGTCTCTTAAATAAAGTTAGGTTAAAAATGGATATATTACATACAAGATCGTTACTCAAGAGTGTCAATAAAAACGAACGGCTACCAGATCTTATCTTACAAAGAGATCCAAAGAACACGGTCTTCCGTTAATCCCCAATCACCGTGGATTCGGCGAAAATACGAAATATCAGTGAACAAAGACTCCTTATTCGCCCGCCATTATTGCCCCAACCAGTGACTGACATACAACAGCGAAGACGGCGCCAACATGTAATAAAACTTAAAATTGACTAACTTATGATTGGTATTTACGATTTTGGTAACAAAAATTCTAAAATCATGCAACTCTTACAGAGAGAAAAGTGAACGAAAAGGAGAACTTTAACCGACATGAAAAGTAGTTTAGTTACTGACGACTAGTGCATGCATCATAGATATCAAGTTCGGTTCCTTACATTTAGATATGTTCCATTAAAGTTTCAATATGTACAGCGATAATGAGCTAATTTAAGCACGTTCTCCCCTGATCCGGCGAGCGAGTTGAATATCCTTTGGCATAATGGTCACGCGCTTAGCGTGGATGGCACACAAGTTTGTGTCTTCAAATAGACCAACCAGGTACGCTTCTGCGGCTTCTTGAAGGGCACCAATAGCGGCACTTTGGAAACGAAGATCCGTCTTGAAGTCCTGGGCAATTTCACGTACAAGACGCTGAAATGGAAGCTTTCTGATCAACAGTTCTGTCGACTTTTGATAACGACGGATTTCTCGAAGGGCGACAGTTCCCGGCCTATAACGATGAGGCTTTTTCACTCCACCAGTGGATGGGGCGCTTTTACGGGCAGCTTTGGTTGCTAGCTGTTTCCTTGGGGCCTTTCCTCCGGTCGATTTACGGGCTGTTTGCTTCGTACGAGCCATTTTCTTTGCCTTTACTACAGTATTATTCCAAATAGGAGAGCACAAACGGTTGCAACACACAAATGGCGACGTAACAAATGATTGAATGATATAAATGCAGATTTTACGTATCTGATTGGTCAGCTTTCGTAACTTATGATTGGTCAAAAATTTCCATGCTACTTATTTGTGATTGGCTGCCTTCGATCCGAGCGAAAGTCAAGCTCCTCTACCTTAGTGCGTTTCTTGTTTGAGCGCCTCGCTAAATTGTGCTCAACCCAGGATATCTTTCAAATGATTTGTTATCGTAGTATTTATCAGGTACAAAGTTAGCTCCAGTCTTGTTTATAGTCTTCGTGAGCTGAAAAATCTTCCGTCCTGAAGAAACTTGGAACAAAATCGTCACAACGCTAACTCGTTCTCATTTTAAGATCCTTTAAATTTTTCTTCGGTTTAGTCTGAGTCGATATGTGTTTCTGCGCAATTTGTGTTATAAAGCTTTTTTCTGTACATGGCATCTCTGTCCACGTTATTGTGAGCTCATGCGGTGTGGTGATGTGACGCAAAACATTTTTGTAGGTTTCTGTGCTTATGAGCATATCCATACTTAAACTTAAACGTTCGATACTCTTGCCTATAACGATTGATTAAGATTTAGGCATTTCATGATGATTATAAATTATTTATCTCGTGTTACTCTAACTATAATGGGTGAACAAGTCAGCTTTGCTTTCCACTTAACGCTGTTATTCTTTTGTAATAACTCGTCGGCAGGAAGGGGTTTATGTGACAATGGCAGATGTAAACTCGGTAGTGGTCATACAGAAAGAAACATCTCACGTTTGCGTGAAATTTGTTGTCTTAAACTTCTCAAAAGTTGATGAACTTTCTTCACTGGGTGAAATTGTACAGGAAGGAGCTGACTTTTTGTACTGATTTCCAACAGGGCATGAGAATATTTGTGGAAATATTTGGGAAAATAGTGTTAAATACTAGTTATACAAATCTTTTGGTTGTGTTTGTGAAGGTGTTAAGAAGTGACTTTGATTGACACTTTCAAAGGAATTTCCAGAAAAAAAATATGGTTTGGCCTTTTCTTTAATGTGTTATCTATCTTTATGAGCTCATAGTTGTCACCATAGAGTGAGCTGAATTATTCACACTTTTCGATTGGTCCTAGTTATGAGCTATAAGAGGACAGATGCATATGATTTCATGATTGACAGTTTTTGGCCTCTTTATTATATAGAACAAATGGATGCCATGTTAGCACAGTAATAGGTCACTGAAAACTTCAGTAACCCAGTTAGCTTTGCATCTTGTTCCTCTTTCTTGTTCTTACCACATTTTGACTGCCAAACAAATGCATGGCCCCATGGAATCTGTTTGTGAACTCTTTAACCCCCGAAGGTGACTAGCATCTAATTTCTCCCAACAGTATAACTCCTACATCATACAATAAGGTCATGGGAATAAAGAAAATAATAACCAACTATATATTATCTTGATTGAAAAACAAATTCTCCTTGTCAGCACCTTAGGAAATGTATAGAGAAACAGTATGGAGAATATGCATACTGATGTTAGGGTGTAAAGTTAACCAATTTATTTTAAAACTTTGGTTTAACAGTCAAATCTTAATTCTTCAAATGTAAGGTAAAGAAATTTAGTTTGAAAATGTGAAATTTTAAAATTTCAAAGGTGGCATCCAATAACATCTTATTGACCAGGTTGCAAGAGAATATTGGTACATTATGCCCAACAACAGTAAGACGGGTTTCTCTTTCTTTATCATTTAAGTAACTCATATTTTAATACCAACATAGACTTCATAAAATATTGTCTTTTAATCTTGAATATATATAATAGCTTTTTTACAGGTAATTTCTATGATAAATAAAATGAAAACAGAGACCAAGTATTTCAGTTGATGTCAGGTCTGCATGTCAGTTTCTGTATGTGTGCACTAAGTTGTTCACAATGCATTCACTTACAAACACACCCATATGTACAATTATGTTTTCAGAGAATTTGCTCCAGTAAATATAGAACATTTTCATAGAGATTTGTAAAGGGAAAAGCCACAAATTTGAAGTTAGAACAGCTGCAAAACCAACCAAGTGCATTGTCATTCTACTATGAGGAAACTGTGATGATTATTACCATAAACAAGAAATATACAATTGAGCAAAGCAACAAATTACTGACAAACACCTGGGATATTTTGCAAATACCATATCTCCTCTATTAAGCACCCTCTCCTGAATAAACACCCACCTCCTAAACCATAATTTCAAACAAGCACCCCTTCCTTCCTCACTTTCTTAAATAGCAGGGATGCAAAGAGAACCTGTTCCTAATGCCAATTAATTTATAGCTTTATAAGCTCTGACTGCAATGGAAGTACAGGAGAATAATATGCACCCCCCTTAACATAGCACCCTCATTCCAATAAGTGCCCCTCCTTTGAGATGACGTTCTAAATAAGTGCCAGGTACTTATTCAAGGAGATAAGGTATGTCACTTAAGTTACATTCACACTGGCGATCAGGACAAGCAAGAAAATCACAGGATAGTAATTATTTCATTTAATAGTTCCTTAACTCTAGCTTGGCGTATTGTTTACCTTACAACAGTACAACTCCAAAAATATATTTGGTCTTCATAGATTTCTGAGTTTGACAATAAGAAAGTAAAAAAAGTTGAAATGTTGCAAAAAAAATATAGGTTAAATATGACTTTCATAGTATCCTCACCCCAACAAAACAACATTTCCTTCAACAAAATTTGCATTGTAACGTCTTCCTATAATATCAATAAATTATCCAGCAAACAGGTGGTGAGAATACTCTAAGTCATCAACTATCCACAAATTCTCATACCTAATTTAAAAGGAGATGTGGAGCAACTAGAAGGGAGAATTAACCATCAGATCTTTGGAGTTGAAGGCCTGAAGGTAACAACACTTTCCTCCTGTGCTAGACATTTTAAAGCAGGCCAATGTACTGCCATAAAATGATGTAACAAGATACTTGTTATAATAAACATTTTGTTCCAAATAATCACTCAATTCAAAATTCATATATTACTTTTGGTCACCCTTGTCTTATCAAAACTTTTTGTATCACAGACACTGAACCATACCCAGTCACATGTCTGCATTAACACCTTGTGGTACAGCTGAAGCTTGCTGCGCAAACAGCCAAAAGGAATGGGAAATGAAAGGCACTGTTTGAGGAACCTGAGAGTCTAAGATCACAGTAAATGAATTTAAAACGTTTTATGGTATTAGTGTGAGTTTTTGGTAAATTTAAGGGGATTGATTTCCTAACTGAATGCTATTGGGGACCTTTAACAAGAATTTCAGCACTTTTAAGTAATAGCTGAATAGATATTCACCCTCTTAAATTTAGGTGGAGGCAAATATTAGTGGCTTCCTCTGATTATTTAAAGAATTTTGTCCTTTTCAGGTAGTCAAAACCGTTTACTACAATTTCTGTTGGCAGATTCTTTGACAAAATAGAAAGTTAAAAAATAAACAAGTCTGTTCTGTCTTTAGTTATGAAAAAAAGCTGTTTGTCCATGTAGCACAGTAGTCTTGCCAAGAGCTGGTGGTGTCTGGGTTTCCTGTACACAACAAGTGCACTATCCTGGGTAGACAGCCTTGCATGTATACTCTTATCCACTCTGAGTACAGCAGAACCATTGTCATACACGTGAAGTAGTAAGAACATTACATAGATTGACACTAAAAGCATAAATCACAGCCTCCACTTCTCCCAAACCTTAAAAAACCATTGTACTACTTGTCCTGTGCATTGAAATAGAAGAAGCATGAAGTGGATTTGTAGCTATAATTTTGACAGGTAGATCCCATGACATAGTTTCAGCCTGAATATCAGAGGGGCCCTGCCACGAGGCATTGTCTGTAAAAGGAGTTGTTTGCTGAACAGGACTATCTCCTCCAGGTAATGGTGACAGAGCTATTGTAAACTCAAAATGAAGTCTCCATTTCAAACAAACTGTGAAAAAATGAGAACAATATCTCATCAAACTTAATAGCTGGGCTGTGTGGTTCTAAATTTACTTTGCACTTATAATTATTTTTAAGAAAAAACCAGAGGACATGGCACATTAGGTAACAAGTAAGTGCAACAAGTCTTTGAAACAGATAATGCTTTTTCCTTCCATACCAACCTGCCCTAGTGCATTTTCTTGATTCCATGAGACACAAACTCAAACATTTGTATTTGTGGAACTGTTCAGGAGACTAACATCAGTATGCACATTCTCCATACTATTATCTATATATTCAATACAGAAATATCTGTCTTACCTAAATCTGAGACGAATTCTGGACAAGCAGTGTAAGGTATAGGTAAAACTAAATGAGTCTTTTTAGTGTGCAAACAATTTTCTTGAACAGAAGTGAAAGAAGAGTATGTCACATCTGAAGATTGCTTTGAAGGATTGCGTGAATTCTCAGGAATGTGTTCTTCACTTTGCAGGACAACTGAAAACTAGATTAAGAAAAAAAAAACAGTACTTGGTTAAGTGTAAATAATACAAACAGCTAAAATTTCTAAGATTTACCACAACTACATGTACACAACTCCTTAAAAACTGCAAGCAGACCTACAAATTCTCTACATAATTTCATTTACTTTCAACAAACTTCAAAGCCACTTAAGACTAGGTAAAAACAGCAGTTGAAATATCATCAGGTTGGATGTTTCCTGCTGATAAAATTTGGCTGCTGAATGCAATTTCAAGTTGAGTGTAACTAAAGTAATCCACAGTGACAAGGTTATCTAAAGCAATAAACTGTGATTGGTTTTAAAACTCAAACTGTATATTTTCCTCTGTAAAACATAAACAAATGCAATTTAGTATATTATGTTTTCCCATATTTTGGGAAGTTTGCCTGTTGCTACGTTGAGTTCATGGTGGCTTCTTTCACTTAGTTCTGTCTGATGGGCCATTTTTAACTCTTTCTTTAATTTTTGTTCAACAATATTACATCAAAATATGCTCATCAGGAGTTTTAGGAGTGGTTTTAATCAAAGATTCTCTAAAGATGGCCTCCTCAAAGGGGATTAACTGCAGAAATTATTTTAAATTCAAAAGCTTTTTTAAAAAACTATTGAATTAACAGAGTTTTAAAATGCACCACTATTGGAAAATCAAGTCATATATATGCCTTAATTACCTTGAGACAAAGAATGAGAGATTCTGAAAAGTCAAAAGATCCTACGATTTCTTCACCTATGCGATATGCTGACTTAAAGAGACAAAACTTTCCTATAGATCCTCTGCCACTGACAATGTTATATACATCTGTTGAAAAAAAAAACAAAAAAGCAAAGTTCAAGAATAAAGTTCTACTCAGTCATTTAGAACTACCATCCAAGACTCCCTGTCAAGTTAAACTCATGTTATTAGATTTCACAAAAAAATTGGATTGGAGTAAGTTAATACAAATTACCCATAGATCAAATTGTAACTTTACTTATTTGATTTGGGGCACAACCTTGAATGAGCACCCACCCTGTTGGTGAGAAAAGCCAGCACCAAAAAACTAAAGTACACCAGGGGAGTATAGATCATTTTTTATTTACTGGCTTACAATCTTGAAATTTACCATGTAGGGTACATCTTCACATTTTATTATTAATTGTTTTGTTGCAAATTAAATTAACTACTCACTGAAAAGGGTAAAAATTTGAATAACCATGCAGCCTTGAATAAGCACCTTCCTCAAGGTCCAAACATTGAAAAAATAATGTAACTAACCCTTTAAACCATAGGATTGGGGATTGGTATGTAAATTTTCAATACTGTTCTCAATGCGCTTCTCATGGCACTGACATGGAGAATTTGTTGAACAATCGAGAGGTTTTCTGGTAGGTGATCATTCTCCTTATTCTCATGGCCTTATAATGTTTGATTCAACAGCAATATGTTTAGGAGAAATAAGATGCAAATCCTTGCAAAAGAAACAGTGGGGTAATGATCAAACTATTAAGCGGATGATCAGAGATTAATTGTCACGTGTCTTATTCATATTTCAATCATGTATAAACAGTGGTTCTGTACTTACGTGAATTTCTTTTAGAGGTGACTGTAGTTAAAATGTCCACTGCTAAATCTAATAGAGATGTTTCTGGATTCGAATCATCTAAAAATGGATTATGAGAATTTTCTTGCTTGCATAAAAATTGTTCAATCCTACCAAGTCCTGTTAAAAAAGAAATTAGAGGAATATATTTAAAAAATTAAGGAGCTAAGTTCTCTACTCTTTAGGAGAAGTTTGTAGGTTCTTTAACATCCCTTGCTAAGTATGATTCCGAGAAGATGCAAGAGACATGACCTGCGGTTTATTGTCCTTATCCAAGAAGACTAGACAAGGTGTGAAATTTTTTTTTTCTGAAAGCCACTTGGCTCCTAAATTCTTCAAAGTGGTAGCCAATTCAAACAAAATTGGTCACCATTTTCAAAGACAAACAAACCCTTTTTTTTACGCTGTCATTGATCTAGAAATTAAGTCAGGGAAAAGATCTTTAAAGTGCTACAAAGTGGACACTAGGATGGATGATATGCACTGTTCAAGCTCACCTAAATCCAAGATGACGTCTAGTTATTGATTGACATGCATGTGCTACGTTTTGGAAACAAACTTAACGAGGAAGTTTGCTGCGGATTTATCTTTGCAAATCTTTTTAATTCCCTATATCTCTAGGTAAGGTTATGATGAAACATTCTAGTCACCAATTTGCCGACTAATTTTCAGGATTTGGTTGCCAAAGTAAAAAATGTAGTCGCATTGGCGCCTGTATTAGGCACAATTTCACTCCCTGCTAGAATGTTTAACCATTTGCCCATGTTATATGGCAGGCAGTACCATCTCCTCAACTGTTTTAAAACCCTAAATGTTGGTTGGATCTGGGGCTTGAAACCTTGACCTCCCATATGGCAATGCAGCGCTCTACAATATTAGCAAACCAAACTTGTGCTTTCATCTTGTGTGAAAATTGTAAATTTGAGGTCAATTGTGGAAATATTGAAAACTTGTATTTTAACTCATGTATCGAAAGCATAGGAAAAGCAGGTTACGTTCAGTTATTTAGCAGAAAAATATGATCAGAAAGAAATAAAAATAAACTTTTGGCAAAATCTTTCCTCTCTTTATTTTACAACAAGAGATCTCTACATCAGTTTGCCATTATAGAGGATTGCCTATATTCATCACACACTCACCTTGTAAAGACAATATTCTAACAGGCAATTTTAAAAGTTTGGAATGTCCTTGAACTCTACTGGTGCCAACAGTGATCTTGTAAGAATATTTCACTGTATGTCCTTTATATGAGGGCACTCCATCAAACGGAATTGTGTCACTATAAAAATCTGAAACAGTCAAGATATCATGTATTCAGTGATATAATATTAAGGTTTCGTGATCAAAATGAAGAAAAAAAAAAAAAAAAGGCACTACCCCTTCAAATAGCATGACCTTGGAATTCAAAATGCATCATGCAAAATATGTAATGCAATGCTGTTAATCATTTCATGTTTTGGGCCTGTTAGGAAACTTTACTATTAACCATTAGCTTACTCAAACTCAATTACAAAAAAAAAAAACCCTGCTGACTGGAATTTCCCTTTCTCTTATTTGCAATCTGACTTTTGTATTTTTATAGAAGCCAAGAAAGCTATCAACTAATAAAGTAACAACAACTGAAAAGTCTGTCATCAAGTGAATACTGGTATGTTGGACTAAAATTTAACTCTCTTTACTCAGGAATCATTGAAATGACAGATAAAGCAGACTTAGCTTACTCTACATTCCGAGACAATAATACATTGCAGTCATACCAGTATCAGTATTAGCTAAATTAGTTTATTAGTATCATAAACCTTCGGGGCATAATATGATTTCATTACAGTACTAGAGTCCCACACACAGTCAGTGATCTTGTTTCACGAAAAGATGATTGAAAGTCGGAGAATAATACTCAGATAAAAGTCAATCTGTAAGAATTCTTGACTGTAAATATGCAGTCTCGGCGGACAACTCTAAACAAATTTTAACTTCGATTGATCCCAAAATTCAAACGCAGTAGCCTTAAAAGAGAGAACAACTACGATCTAATTATGTGCAGAAGGTAGATACCTTTTATATAATTACTTTCGATAGGGAACCAATTCATGGATGAACGAACGATACCGTAAACAAGCACTTTCAAGTAATGAATTAAGATAAGCTTTTCCTTTGTTTTACAAAACAAAAAGGTCCGCCAGAACGTACAAGGAACAAAGCAATACCAAGAAATTCGAACGAATCGTGGGTTAGGAATCGCTCAGGAGTTTAAGAAATGGATATTACCAACACATTTGCAATACAACTTGCTTACTTTTCAAATTATCATTCACGCAATCCCGAAACTACTTCACTTCACACGTAAAAGTAAACTTACAATTTCTAGATTCTCCAGGAGCAAGCTCCAGATCACAAAACAATATCTTCGGTTGCGTAGACAATAAACAGCGACCTTGTTCTCCTGCGACAGACATTTAAAAAACAAAACACGACATCACGATCAATAATTCACCATTTTCCGATCGATAATAGTATACCAGCAAAATCCAACCATAAATCATACATGCACCAAAGAAGCGTTTGTGCTCTAACCTCTTGAGGGAACGAAGCTTGTACAAGATGCATTTGCATCCGAAGAAATTTGGTTTAGAGTTCGATCCATTCTTGAATTCGTAGTTGGAAGAACAACCCGCGATTCGTTTACCGTACACTGGCAATGTATTTGAGCGCTCGCCCAAGCAAGTCTGTCCGTTTCATTGCTCCCATTTGAAAAATCGTTATTAACGTGATTACATGGATGACTGCAGGTCTCTTTCTTGCCATCTGCGACGTTTGTAAAAATAATTTCACACTCGATACATTCGCCAGCGAAGAAGACAGAACCACGGAGTAGGCGCACTTTCACCTCGATCATCGCAAATAAAATCAAGAAAGCATTTCTTCATTACCCATATGTTCTTCTTCCATTTCCAAAACTAAAAGTAAAGCTCTCAGGAATCTCTAAGAATATTTACGCCGACGATTATGTGGAAGATCGTTTCCGAGTGGGAATTCGCTATCCGCTGGAACCGCCATAATGTAACAGCGAAGTGCTTCAACGGAAAGTAGCTGGCCAGTTGTGCTTGCGGGCGTCAATGACAAGCGGCGATCCGGTGAACGACCCGCGAACCATAAGTGTAGGATTGTGGCGAAACCAGTTTTTAAGTTTCTACCTTATGTTTTCTTCTGATTTCATTTTCAAGGCCAATCAAAAAGAGAGAACAACATCGGAGAGGAAATTAAGTGGTTCACTCGCCCTCCATTCCCATCGGTTTTAAGTCAGATTTTGTTATTTCCAGTCTCTACTAAGCGTTCTAGTTCCAGACAGGAGCCCATGGGCTCCTGTTCCAGACCCCTTCTAATTTTTTTTCACCCTTTATGAACTACCCAAAAAAGAAACCTCGCCAGACGGTTAACAAATGAAATAAGGAAAGATCCAACTCAAAATTATACAAGACAGAAAAGGATAAGATTTATCAGTTCCTAGCAGGCAAGAACAGTTTCGGGTGCATTTTAACTTTAAAGAATTGGTCACTGAAACTATTGTCTGAGAGGTGGCTAAGAATGTTAATAGATTAAAAAAAGGCGTCAAAGATACGTCGAAATGGTGCCTTTGAGGCGACAAAAAAATGAACCTAATATCAGTTTACTCAAGAGCATACAACCTGGATATATTCTTCTAGTTTACATCAATGTGGCTAATAATCATCACTGAGATCTTTTCATGGAATGTTTTACACTTCTCCTAATATAGCACTTTTATATCATTTGTTAAGGTAATGAAAAGAAATTTCAACAACTCTGCCAACTCAGACTGAGATTCAAACTTGTGTAGCGAAAGGGTGTGACTCAGCATGTCTACAAAGTCTCTCATTCTTGAAGAGGTAATTTCCTTAAACGTTTCTATGACTTTTTTTGTTTCACGTTGCCAACATGTTTATGTTCAGGGAGGATTAAATTGACTTCTGGAGCAATTTCCCTTAGCAAGCGGGATTAAATGTAGTCGCTACAGAGAAGAGTTTTCTCCTGTTTTAAGTCTCCAATGCAGCCTCCATGAAGATTTGATGATTCTTCTCTCTCGTTTAATTGCTGATCACAAAGAGCCTCAAGTGAATCTAAAAGGAAATAATACAATTTCACTCTTTGGTAACTCCACATCACATCTTCTTTAAGGCATTCATCAAATCTGAATTCATTGACCGGGCGATCTTTAACTGAGAAGAGTAAGCATTGAAGGATGTTTATCCTGTCAGAGAAATCCTTTTTCCATAGCACTATAAATGAAGAGGAAAAAGTTGCACTATTGGTTTTTTTTTTAAAGAAAGTTGGAAGCGTTTTATTATGTTTAAGAGGCGTTTGCTCATATTGCTGCCAGACCATTCTTCATTCGTGGGGTGTTGCTCCCATTCAAGTAACACCAAGGGTTGATGAAGCGTGCATGAAGAAATCCTCTTGCTGTCAGTGTACTTATCAATGAAAGAACCTTCGTCATAATTAGCTGGTTTCATCCAAATTCTTACTGTACCGGCCACCTCAGAGATTACACTGACTCCAAAATCATGAATAAATTTCCAGTGAGAATTTTGGACGGCTTCATTCCAAAATGCATAATTCTCCACCTCTATGACAGGAAACAGCATGTCACGCAATGCCTTCAACACTATTAATCACGCCGTTGGCTCACTTGTGGGGCCAAATCGGGAGGAATAGCGCCTGCTCAAGGTATGATAGCAAACATCGCAAAGAAAAGTGATTTTTGTCAACAGGCCGGTTACTTGTAGCTGATTTCTTGAATTCCTAAAACAAATCCGATGACGAGGGCTCAATTCGAGTATCCACGGACAGCCATGAAATACGGTAAGTTGTCAAGTAAGGAGGTTATCACTCGGCCAGCCGGGGTTTCTGCTTCAAATGGATAAGTGGTTAATGAACAAGAGTGAATCTTTACAGCAAGAGACAAATCAACGCTGATTACCAATCGTGCATAATGTTCTCCACTAGTCCATTTAAGCCCTAAACTGTAAGAAGGTCCGTTTGTTTTAGATGCTGAAGACAGGACTTCAATTTCGTTCACCTCTATCTCTTCAACTTCCCGATTGGCTCTGACAAACAGAGTCTTCACGCAGATTTTCCAATCAAAATTAGGCCTCGGAAAGAACCCTCGTCGCTTTCCAAAAACAGTCTTACTGGAAATCACAACCATCTTAGAACCAGGTAATTCCTCATATAAATTGAATATCCGTTGGCTCAGAGAAATTATTAAGCTACACAAAATATTAATCGAACTTGTTCGGCTTACCAACTTTCGTTCCTTTAAAGAAACTACCCTTGTCGATAAGTGCTGTCTTGTAGGAAGGCCTCATTTTTTAACTTTAGAAGCCGATCTTCAAGAAAGTTTTCAACACTGGTTTAATATCAATGACCTCCTAGTGGTATGGCCCTTTTAGTACGTTTCCTTTATTTTCATCAAGATCGTGTATGGACAAATCCAGCGATCGAAGACAACAACTCATTTTCTTATCGATCTGCCGTTCACCTGATGGTTGTTTGATTTGTCTTCGTAATTTATGGTGATTTTGAATGAAAAAAAAAAGATTAAAGACTACCAATTTTGCAAGTTCACTTTCAATTTTCCAAAAGTAATCCCCACCTTATTTACTGAAATTGTACTTCAGTACTACCAAAAGTAATCCCCACCTTATTTACTGAAATTGTACTTCAAGACTACCAATTTTGCAAGTTCACTTTCAATTTTCCAAAAGTAATCCCCACCTTATTTACTGAAATTGTACTTCAGTTTAGATGAATTCAGTTCACATGAGATCCCTATGTCAGTTTGTATATACTCGGTTCTGGTTCAATGATCCACTCTTCTGGTTCATTATTCTGTTATTAAAATTCTTAACGCTTCACTGGATGGCATGATCCGGCTATGCGTTTAATCATAAATATGGGATTTTTGGTGGCTACTACTAGATTGTACCTAAGTAAGTTACCAGGTGAATAAGTATTCGCCAAGTGAGCAGCTTTTACCGATAAGCTTCGCTGAAATATCTTGAAAAAAATTGCCATTTAGCTTGTATCTCAAAAATAGTTCCATATTGCTGAATTGTAACTATTCTGTGGAAAATTATGTGCTTGCAGATTAGATTTGTCGCAAAAATTAAAAGAAAGAAAGTAAATTTAAAAGAGGAATACTTTAAGGTAAAATACCTTACCGCTGGGAATGAAAAGAAAGGTACATTTTACATTTTTTCCGAGCCTGAGTGGAAGGGAGGGGGTGGTGGGGGAGTGGAGTAGATGCTTGTGGAGTCCCAAGTTGGGTTTCCTTCGAGCAAACTGACAATAACAATCAGAACTTTCTTTAATCAGAAATTGTTTTAGAACAGCCCTAACAATTAAGAAATACCTAAATCTTCTTCACCAGTCTTTCATTTCATTAAGCAATATGGCAATATCTTCTCGAAATGCACTGAACAGAAATTCCAACAGCTTCCTTGGTTCGTCAGTTTTGTACTTGTAACTTGACCCTTCTAGTCTCCATTGTTCCTGGGACCAAAGACTGTAGCTGGGAAGATCGTTTGCACTAGTCTCCATTCTCCGACGCGCTATTTCCTCAAATTGTTGTCCGGCTTGACTCAGGGACGTCGTATCTTTCACATTAACATTTGTCAATATTAAACTCTCATTTGGAGCTATTGAATTAAGCAAAGCTTGAACGTAGATGTTCCATAAACTTGTTTTCTCGTCAGTCCCCTTGTCTTCCAGTCCATGTGCCAAGGCATCTGAATATTGACAAACTGTTGCCTTACCTTCCTTTCTTAAGGATTTCTGAACGACTTCTTCCATAGAAGGATCTTGGAAGAAAGTGTCCAAGAAGCCACTTAAAAGTAGGTCGGTAAGAGTTTTTTTGCGATAAATTATATCAATAAAGTCCTCTTTCAGTTTTGTCAAACATTCTTCGAAGTTATAAACGTTCATGTTGTCGACGAAAGATAAACCATCAAGGAGAATGACGATTATACTGGCAACGTTTAAAAAATCCATTTCACGAGTAACTGAGGAAGGGAAAATGTTGTAATCTGCGTAGAAAAAGCTTCGCATTTTTCTTTCTTTCAAGTGATCGACAAGACTACGAAGAATGTTGAGGAATCGCTGGCTTAGATTGTTTCCGGACCACTGCTCTTTTTCAGGGTACAGCTTCCATTCAAACAACACCAGCGTTTTGAGGACATAAGAAGAAAGCAATCTGCCGGTGTTTTTCAAAGAATCAGCCGCTGATTCGACGCAAAAAAACCAAAAACCACTATCGTTTGATCTTCCTTTGAATTCGGTAGTATCAGGAAATACGATGTCACGCAATACTTTCAGTAACCTAAGACACTTGGCTTGACCGCTGTCGAAGCCAAATGTCTGGCGAAATAATCCCTGCTCGAGGCACGAGTGCGAGCAACGTAGACAGAAATTTTCTGGTCGTAAATCGGCATCCCAATCAGCAAAGAAATTTGGCTGAACTTCCGTGAGCATGTTCCTGTACGCACCAACTGCATAGTAAAATGGTAATTTATCAAACAGAAGTCGAAGCACTCTTCCTGTTGGGGTTTCAAATTCAATGTCAATGTTATCAGGTCGATTATTTATTCTCACGGCTAGAGCCAAGTCAACGCTAATTTTTAAGCCTTTGTACCGTTCTCCGCCGTTCCATTCGAGCAACAGAGTATATGCCGGTCCATGTTTTGTTAAAGGTCGTTGCCTAGACACGTTAGAGGAATAATCCCACGGCACTACCTTCATTCCGAATGCCTCAAAATCTTTCGCTTTCTTGTTGAAGATCTTATAAAATGGTGTCTTGATAGTCTTCTTCCACTCAAAATAGCCATACCTCAAATCCTGTTTGGAGTGAGGGAAAAAGAAGCAAAGGTCTTCCCAAGCTGATTCGTCTGCAGGGAACACCATCATTGTAGAACAAGGAAGTTCGTGAAAGTAATATCTCTCAGGGCCAGAAAAACTGTCGAGTTGAATGAGGAAGTCAAACTCA